AAAAAAAAAAAAAAAAAAAAAAAAAAAAAAAAACTATAAAGTGCTATCTCCGTCTCATTACAAGATTGGTCTACTCAATAACAGCAAAGTAATTCAAGAGAAGTCACAAGTATAAATGCCAACAAAAAACACAAAATTAAATAAAAAAAGCAATATACGTAAAAAATTTGTATCATATCACGACCGTTCCGGGCCATCAACTTGCGGTAACCTCATTTGAGACCATACAAAATCCAGAAATAAAGCATTTTCTTCTAAACGTGAGAAGCGATCCAAGTACCTTTAATTAATATTAATGTTTCTAGTAACTTTTTTAAAGCACTAATTATCTGCACGTTTTTTACCAAAAACAACCAGGCTTAACAAAAACTAAAATATGCCACCTGAAATTGTCTATGAGAACCTAACTAAAAAAATTTCTAAGTCAGGCAGCGCACTAATTACAGGTGTGATTTATATAAAGCCTCAAAGCTTTTGGTACTTTTCTTTAATAAATTAACAAAGTCCACCTTTTTGTATAAGGAATAAAGGTTTCTACAACAGCAGGGAAATTTGGTGTCGCTAATAAACTGTTGGGAGGGAATGATCGCAAAATCCGGTTCATTACTTCTTGAGCCACCTAGAAAGTAAAACGTAATTAGCGAAAGAATAGAAAAAACTTTGAATTGAAACTGCCATGACTCCATAAAAACACTCAATTCATTGCCGAAACAAAGAATGATTCGTTACACTTTTTGACGCTACAAATACATAATTCCTTCTACTATATTTCACAAAAATATCACTCTTGCAGTCCGTCCATTGGTATTCCATTTTGTAGCAAAATCTAGAAGCGTTACTAATTGTTCGCGCGATAGTGCAGCAACACATTTCGTCAGCTCAAGAGAATCCGTTTCCATTAGCTTAGAAATAACCATGTAACAACTGTAAACTGGCATTAAACTACTCGAAAATCACACAGAAAATATAAAAAAAGCTTTTATTCAAACAACATAAAAATGCTAGCAACTACGGTTTTAATATAAAACCCATTTAAAATTAGAAATCAAATTAGAAGTTATAAAAACCAGCTTGAAGTTGAAATTAAATATAACAAACCTATACGGTTTATCAAGGGTCAAAGTGAAGGAAAATGCTTCCGAAAATCTCTTTTGCTCCATTAAATTAGAAAGTTTCTGGTCATCGCTAACTCTTTTTGCTCGTAATCTTTCTTCTTCTTCGAGCTCCTTCGCTGTTACATCTTCCCAAATCCCGATTCTACCATCGCTACCACCTTAAAAAAGATTTTTGTAAAATAAACTTAGTAGTGCAAATACAAAAAGCTAGAGAAAATAATGTAAATTACTGGACCTGTGACAAATTTGCTTTCATCTTCAGAAGCAACTAAAGCCCATATTTTGTCATAATGCGCTTCTGTAGTTTTAATACACTCTTTTGTATTTAAGTCCCATATCTTCAAAAGTCCTCCGCTGTCAGCACTAATTATTTGCTTTCCGTGACTGACAAAAATCATCTATAAAAAGACCATAGCAAATACGTTCGAAACAATAAAGTTCAACATAATAATCACGCATATTTGCATTCCTCATAAAACCTACAATATGCCCCTACAATGGTACGGCCCCCCAGATCTCTCAAATTTCTTTAAGAAAAACGATTGCAAAAACTTCTAAAAAACTTAGGAAAATAAACTAGAAATTTATTACCTTACTGAAGAGCATTTTAGCCTTATGTTTTGGTTTTACTTGTTTAAAATCCCTATTTTATCAGACGAGTAAAGTAAGAATTGAGGGTACAAACTTTAGAATAAGAACCAAAAAAACCAATAATATAGAAGATTTACCAAAACTGGCTTCATCTCTTAAACTTATACCTGAAGAACTGCAAACGAGTGTCCAACCAAAGTTGCAATGCATTCTCGAGAACTTATAGAGAAAACTCGAACAGAGTGATCGCCACTACACGTACCAACAATCTAAACAGCTGCAGTGATATACATTGAAAAATATTTTACTAAAAATAAAAATTGCTTACACAAAAACAGTTCAAAAGCTTCGACTTCTGACAGTAGCCGGAAATGTAACTCACTTCAGAAAAATCGCAAAAGCGAACATCCCAGACTCCTCGACGATGTCCAGGTAATGTTCCCGCTATACCAAGCTGCATAGTTTTACTATCTATATGCCACAATTTTGCTGTCTTATCCATAGAACCAGTCACGCAAAGGCGATCATTAGCGGAAATGTCCAGGCAAGTAATTTCCTTGGCGTGTGCCACAAACGTTGACGATGCACTTAGCTTAACACTAGAACGAAATAAACTGTAAATGACTCTGAACATCTGTCACTCTCTCAAGTTGAAAAAATGCAGAAATAACTAAACAATTATCCTTAGAATAAACTCTCTCAAACAAAGTATATACCATTCGTCTTCTGATAGTTTAGCTAAAGACCAAAGCTTCAGTGTGCAGTCATGAGAAACAGAAAGAATAAATTTTCTTTTCGACATCCTAGAAAAACAAGCTGCTGTCACGTTATTTGTATGCCCAGTAGCTACCGCTAACTGAAAATGTTCTACAACATATACGAAAACAAATTTATATTCAAACAATTGAACCATAATATCTTAATAACAGCCAGCGCCATTTTAAAAACTCATATTAGTAAAACCAACCCCTAGTTCAAACCAGTAATTCAGGAAAACTCAATAAGACGAGGAAATTTATACCTCATAGAAGCACTGAGCCAAAGTATACCAAAATTGTAGATCTCAGTTTACAGCAAGTAGAAAATTAGTTATTCCTTGACTAATTTTTCAAAAGCTTCATTAGTCAAACAAAAGAAAAAAATTTTACTTAACCTCTTAAAAATTTTTGAACTCAAACATGTTTAAGTCTGCCTAAATTAACCATTAACAAAACAGCTAACTTTTTTAGCTTCAAAGAGTGTCCCTTCAGTCACTAGCTTCCATAAAATAAAAGAGTTGTCCTTTGCTGACGAAACAAACATGCTACTGTCCCATGCAGCGCTCGATATTGAAAGAACATTATCAGTGTGACCTAAAAAATGTACGTGCAAGAATTTTAGAAAGCTACGAGAAGAAACACAGTTTTGAAAGCATATTAGCAAGGGATTAAGCAGGCCAACGCAGGATCAATTCCAAGATTTTTCATGCAAGGTCAGAGAGTGAATCAGAAGGAAAAAAAAAACAATCAAACTTCATAAAACAAACAAAATTAGGAGAGCAAAGAAAGCTTTTTAGTTCTTGTTTTTTAACTGAATAATCAAAACAGTGTCTGGTAGGATGAGGTCAGGATCTAATGAGCGATGTAAGAAAAAAGCAAACGATATTAAAAAGTTAAGCAGGATGAGTGCATAAAAATCTTGTTGCTCTTAGAAGCTGCTTTTAAGTGCAAACTCAAAAATCTTTGAAAAGCAGGAATCTACAGCCGATTGAAGATCGACAG